CAAAAGTATGTCAAAGCATATATGGTAAAAAAAATGAGCGCTAAATATATTTTTGCATCTTTCTTGTATCAGACACAGCAGTGCTATTCGCTGTATCAAGAATTTTGCTTGATCGGATGATTTGTTTCGTGAGGTCAGAGTATTGTCTTTCAAAAACTTTTCCTTCGAATATCCACCAACCATTATGTTGTCGTTCGTGCATTATCATTCCTAAGATTCTCAAAAAAAATTGGTGGTTGTTCTCAAATTTTCATTTTTCATTGGAAGCTCCATTATCGGTCGTTCATGTGTTTCCATTGTTAATGCAGGAAAGAAATCATTGATCGGTCGTGCAATGTATAAAATATTCACTTCATTTATTTTCCTTTATCATTAAAAAAAAGTTTTATCAACTTCTCCTATGTTAATAAGCTCACTGATACTTCTTCGAAAGTCAATGTTAAAAACAATCATGAAGCTAACGGTGCTGATGTCGCTGCTCACAGCTTCCGAACTGTCCACCCAAATGCTTGCCACATTATTGATCGGTCGTGCAATGTATAAAATCTTCATTTCATTTTTAAAAAAATATTTTTATTAAGTATATATATGTTAATAAGCGGTTAAAGCTATTTTTGAGCTATATCAGTCGCACTGAAACAGTTAATTGGCACATAAATGGCAGAAGAAGGTAATATCACGCATGCAACTCTCTTTCTTGTCCCGCACATATTCGAAGCGCCGAATATGTACGGGACGCTATGCCTGGTATGAATGGAGAGACTGATTAAGAGTTGCATGCATGTAATCCTATGCTACGCATGCTTGTTGTTGTATATTCTTTCTTGAAATCTTTTTCTCCTTATTGCGTCGAGGAGGAATGGGTGTCGAGTTGACTTCCTGTAGCAGTACCATTAAAAAATCAAAACAGTAATAGTCAGACAAACCTGGCGTCCAAAGAAATATTTGTAACTTTCACTTCTGATGTAGTCAATAACAGCTTGAGCACCGTTAATTTCGAACTGCTCTTGAATATTAGGAACCCAAGGATTGTGTTCCAATCGGATGACTTGTTTGGAACCCACAAGATCCAAGTTTCCCAACTCAGGCGGTAATGTGGTCAAACGGTTACCTAATACAAATTTACAGTATGGAGAACTACAGTTTTTCAAACCTTGGATGTGGAGTTCTTTCAAGCGAGACAATCGTCCAATTTCTCTGGGGAGAGTTAGCAAGTCGTTATCACGAAGGACTAAGATTTGGAGATTTCGTAGATTCTCCACATCTCCAGGGAGCATTTCGAAGTCATTATCTCCAAGATAAAGTGCTCTCAGTGTATCTGAAAACGAGTATTGTTAAGATGAAAAGGGGGATTGGACTGTACCGATGAAGAAGAAGTTACCAGGTAGACCCTTCTCGTTCAAATTATTATACGTCAAATCCAGGATTTCCAAAGATTGGAAAGATCCGAATCCGCGAGGTAAGACAGACAAACGGTTCATACTATATATGTGAAATTGAAATGGAAACAACGTAGATGACTCACCCAACATTCAATATTCTCAGACGCGGTAGACTGGAGATGCTGGATGGCAGTTCTTCAATATGGTTATTCCATAATGTCAAAATCTTAAGAAAGGTTTGATGTAACAGGCGTGTATGAATAGAAAACTACCTGAAGATTGACCAGATCGGCGATAGAAGGAGGAATCACGGTGAGTTTGTTGTGACTGAGAGTAAGACGAGTGAGACTAGTTAACTCAACTGAAGAAATGCTTATATGTGATAGTCGAAATAAGGAATAAACTGACATAAACGAGGAATTTGGTTAATGCTGGTGATTCCTCTGTCAACATGATCGATTTCTGTGATTTCTTCACTTTTCTTGTCTTTCGGCATTTCCTAAAACTATATGTGTGTTGATAAAGTAAAATAAGTAAAAGAGCGATTTGATGAAGAGTAACGAAAATCGTTGTTGTCTTCTCTATCGCATCTGTTAGAATCGTGGGCGATATGTTGTACACTAAGAGCGAAACACATCTCTTCAACTCAGTTTACACAAGAGAGGAGTCAGAACGCCATATAAACCGCGTCGCGAAACGCATCGCGTTTCGTCTCTCAATAGAAGACGAACAACTGTCACTAAAATACAGTATTTATTAGAGTTAATAGTAAAAATACAAGGAGATCTCTGAAGAAAAAAAGTATAAAATTCTATTAAAATTTGCATTCAATCGATTGGTTTCTGTTCAAATGATTTCTGATCGCCCACACGACGGCGTTCATAGAAGAATAGGTACCCTGATTTAGATGATTGCTCAAGCACAGTTGCTTCATCAATCTTCAATGCATCAAATAACAGAATGGATTAGGAAAGTATCAAACCTCGCGGATATGTTCATCATTGCAGTCCAACCAAACTCCTGATAGACTGTCAAAACAATAACTGGTATAATGACCTGAAAATGGTTGAAATTACCATTTGGCTTGAAGACAGACCTGAATGAACATTCGGACCATGATGAGAAACAACTCCAACCAAGGAATACATAGGATCGTTTTCTTTCCTGTACTCTCTTTCATCCTCATCTTCATCTTCACTTGATATGTCAGTATCGGTATTAGCCACAACACGAACTGGTGACTGAATTATTTTTTTCCTAATTATAGCCTTTTCGGGAGAGACTATGAACTCCTGAAACAAGCTTGGTTTCAAAGAAGATTGAGAACTTCAATACCTCTATATTGACAGCGTTTCCCTGCTCAATCATAACTTTGGGTGCATAAGCAGGAGAGAAATGATAGTTCGACTCGTTGTGAATATATATCGAACCTCTTTCAGCTATTAGCTCATCAATCTGATCGCCGTTCAGCTTCAGCCCTGAAATAGACAATTGAGACGAAGCTTGAGTCTCAGATACTAACTTCCACCAAACGCTCCATTCTTCATCCTGAACATCGGCCGGAAGATTTTCCATGATTGGAAATAAGTGAAAATGACAATGCTGGAAACATAAAATGTAAAAAAAAGAAGAAAGGGTAAGAGATACTTGAAAAGAGTAGCTGCAGCACTTATTTCCACGTAGGTTCCCCAATGACCGTCTTGCCTCATTTCTCTGAAACATGGATTGATACAGATTTCTTGGTTCTGGCTTCCTCACTCTATGTGCTTCTCCATCGTATCAACCGAGTTCAGAAAACAAGAGAAGTGTTCAGAGTGTTGTGCAAGGAAATCGCATAACTGTCAATGACTGAATTAGAAAATCGAAGTACAAAACAAAAGTTACTCGATTCCTCAAACGCCCATGTCCTTTCTCATTTCCGCAGAAGATCCACCAACTCAAAGATCTGAACAGGCAGTTTCCATCGCCATCAACTGACTTTATGTGGGGTTCAACTTCTAAGTCAGTAGAACATTTACGATGCACATTGACTTTCCTCCATGTTTCTCTGGAACATGCAAGTAGAGAACTATGAGTACCGTATGACGTACACATCATTTTCAAGATACAAAGGTGTCGTTTTCTTTCGAACAATGCATTGCAACTCTTGTATGACACTTGTTCTCAAAGGTTGGAAAGCAATTACTTTTTTCTGGAACCGAGAAGAATGAAACTCATCAACTGTACTAAAGCTTACCGGCGTCTTTGATATTTCAAGAATCTTTGGCTCAGAGGAGAAAGACTCATTCGCACTCATCCTTGTGTTAACTGGAGTCGCCCTTAATAAATACTTACATGAAAGAAATCTGTTTCAAACAAACTTGGCTGGACTCGAAATCGGAGTCGGAACTCTAGCCTGAAACAATTTAAACTTTGTTGACGGAATAACTGCGCTGAAACTACCGTTTCTTCCATCCTTCTCTTTCTGCAACGGGTAAGTTCTCTTTCATCCACATACGCGCCCATAGGAGCACCGCCTTTCTGTAGGATATTTCTCAGAGCTGAAGAGAGATATGAACCAATGAATGGAAGTTTCGAAAAACCTGGACGTGGAGTTATCTGAGCGTTTTCAATTACTTGAAGCTTCCTAGGCGACTCTGACGCGTCTCGAATGTTTCGACAGAAGTCTTGAGCTTCATTGGCCTTTGAATCATAGCACAAGTGTTTGAGATACAAGTTCTTGTTAATCTGTAAAAAACAATGTTCAGAACAGAAAGCCAGCAAAGGCATTACATGAATGCTGCTGTTCACTTTCTCTACACTGTCATTTTTGAAATCATAACGCCTCACAGAAACTGCTAAGTATCTGAAAATGGATGTGAGGTTCGAAACAAACTGTTACAACGTACTTGGGTAAGTGCTTAATGGAGACAAACCTTCCTGCAAGACGAGATTTCATCTTACAACTATCACAATCTATTTTAACTTTCTCTTCCACGAAAAACTGTCCGATGATTTTCCGTATAGAGGGTTTACGGCTTCTGCAACAGAATAGAATCCTGGTTCATGTGCCTATGACCTTACCTCCCAGTTGAAACGGTTAGCATATTCTCTACTTCAGTTTTGTTACGCGAAGCACCGCATTTACAGAATATCCTAGAAAGGTTGTATCTTCAAGAATCTCATAAATTCACTTACAGTTGATCGTTCTCTATCCTAAAGAGGTTAGCAGGATTCTTTGATAACGCTTCCTGTAATGCGAAGTAACGATGATACATAGTCACACACAAGCTTACCGTGCTTTGCAGATAATCCAACAAATTATTGAAAAACTCAGATGCATCCTATGAAGCAGTCTTCTTCATTTAGCGTATAGAAATGAGTCTAACCTGCTGTTCACAGCTTCCGAATTGTCCACCCAAATGCTTACCACATAGCTCTCGAAACTCGTACAGAATCTGATACATCAAGTACACTAGAAAGAACTTCCATGTTGCTTACCTCTTCGCGGACGCCTTGTCTTTTGTTCGAGCAAGCTAGACGTCTCAATATATGGGTTAGGCATCTGAAACATGGAAATTGAATTTGAAACTATGAACAACTCACTTTACAAACTCAGCATCGCTTGGCTTCATCGAATTTATGGACATATCAGCTTCGCATTCCAAAAGCCTTAAATTGACGAATATGAATATAACTTTGTCTATTCGTTTACTCTTTTCTGAATCTATCAAGACAACCTAAAACCTGTAGTACGGCATTGCTATAACATGAATTTCCTATGTTCTTTAATCTATAAATATGGAATTGAATATTTCAATATGAGATGAATGGAATACGATTTGTGAGTCTTGGGTGCTGGATTCGCAACAGGACTGGAAAGGATTTCCTCTTCTTCCAGATTAACAACCTCAATCTGCAATTCTTCATCCTTCATGCAAGATGTGCTTGCAGTTTTTTGAGTGAAAGCCGTTTTACGTGACTTGGCGTCATGAGAAGTCAGTGGTGTACCAACTGCGTAACGAGTGATCAGATTCTCTTCTTTCGTTTCCTCTCGAATCCTAGGTTGAACCTATAAGCGAATAGAATTCGAACCATTCTTGGAGACTCACCTTCAGTGTAGATAACACTGGCTTATAGTCATTAGCGATTTGAGTAAGAGATTTCTGAATGAGAAAGTGAAATGTGTTTCAGACAATGTATAACATACTGAAGTGTTGTCTGTATACTTGGGCACAGCTCTCAGTGTCTAGAAAAGATGGATAGAATCAGATTTTGAACAAACTTACATTTCCAGATGCTCTTGAAGAACTTCGCGATGTTGACGGTGTCCCATAAAAGAAGCCTGTTGTGACACTAGGTCGTTCTCCACTTCCTCCTGATATATTCAAAAATAAAAACTCATCTGATTTTTTCATACCAGATTTAGCAGAGGGAGTTGTTGCACCTGACCGTGCCGTAAAATTCGACGGAGTTGTGACACCGGAGAGAGCCACTAAACTTGAGGGAGTCGTAGCACCGGAACGAGCGATTAAGCTTGACGGTGTGGTTGCACCAGACCGAGTCATCAAGCTTGAGGGAGTCGCAGTACCTGAAAGAGTCATTATGTTTGTGTGAATATGTATGGGTACCTGAGCGAATCATAGCGCTTGTGGGAGTAGTACCACGTGACCGGGAAGGAAAGCCAGATATCAATGAAGGCGTTGTACGACTTGAGACAGTCATAGCGCTTGCAGGCGTGTTAACATTTGAGGTACTTCTAATACTGGAAGGAGTGGTAAGACTAAAAGAGGAATGAACACTCGCTTCATCAAGGAATGGAGACTCATCTGCAAGGCAATTTCAAACTATTCATAGAGCTGGACGAACTTACTCGCAAAGAGACATCTCAATGCATCTATAAACATTCTAAAGTGACTATCACCTCCAAAATTGCTATTGGAGTGAGTTGCTTCTAGTACTAATGACTTGTAACTGTAATATATACATATTTAACTATTTTAAACTGATCATACCTATGAAGCTCTATGAATTCCAGTTCGATCTTGTTTACGAACTTATCGGGTATGCCAGTTCCGAACTCATTCGGGAAGAAGCACTCTCCTTTTCCATTTGTTGGCTAAACATGATTGTTCCATTTGTATGTAATGCTCTCATGAGTTACCAGAAGAATGAACTTATCTTCATCGACTTGAACAGTCGCCACTCCTTTATACAACCTATTGGTTTTTCTAGTCCAGATGAAGAATTTGACTGTAATCCCATCTGAGTTATCGGTCATTGTCTGGAATCAGAGTCATACATACTCACATGGCAGATTTGAACGAAGAATCAAAACGTAATCAACATATGGTTAACCAAACAGTCAGACAAGTTATTCAATATTTTATTTCTTAAAATCTTCTAAAACTTTAATTACTTGAAAACTGTAGAATTCTGGATTATCGTTTTGTGAGCATGTTATCAACAAATCTGTAAAGGTGATATTGTCAGATCTTCTTATACAAGTAGATGTCTAACCTCTCGAGACTTTGCTTGAAATCCCCGTATGATGTGTAGTAGATCGATGATTCCCTTATCCATTTGGATACTCTGGTTGAAGCTAGAGCCGCTGAAGTATGAAACTATACGTAGGAGGTTAATAGTGTGATATACCGTCAGGCTGCAATTGGTTTTTAAGCCTTGCATCTAACATGATCAACGCTGACCAATCATTCTTATGCCTAAGTCCTCTGAAAAGAAAGATTGACTCATTCGTTTGAAATAAGTTTCTCACCGTCCTAAAGCTTGATTTAAGGCTCGGTAAGCCTGTGTGTTGTACCATTGATCGCCATTTAATATTCTTGAAACACCTAACTTCGACTGTTCCGAGTTGTATTTCTTCTTCTCTTTGATCTAAAACGAGTGATAACAATTGAAAAAATTATGAACTTACCACTCCTTCTCCGATATATGGATAAGGGATGCCAATTGATATCACAACTCGAGCCAAATCATCTGCGAAATCAATTCCTTCTGATATCTACATCAACATCTTATATACATTTCTTGTGTCGTCTCTTACTTTTCCTCTGAACACAGCGAACAACAGTGCTCCATCCACAGATGTACCATAGTCTTGTGGCTGTTTTATGACCGCAAAGTATTGATCCATTATGTTTCCAAGTTCTGATGCTTTTCTTGGTTCCTCCAGTATCACCTATCGAGAGACGTGTTTCAAAACAAGTTTAATGTTTACCTTTCTAGTTCGTATCCTACGATCAACAGCCATATATCTCATTTTCTGTGTTAAGTCTTTGAGCGACTTGTAGCTAGGCAAGAACACCAGAACTCCTTTTGGAACAGTTTCACAGATACTCCTAGAAAATTCAATGTTTGAAATAATCATAAAGCTCGCCTTAACTCAATGGTCAATACAATCGAACTTAAAGTTTGTTGATTTTGCAAGTTACCCGAAGTTGCTGAAATCTCAGACCCATCAACACCCTTAAGCATTGATGTAACGAGACGCTATAACTAGGAAGAACCAACGAGAGGTAGGATCGCAGCGAATATGTTCTGTTTATCAATAACTTGTGACCCTTCCACATGGAACTTGAAGTCCATACCCAACTCGGTTTGTAAAGTTTCTGTAGGACACAAAGTTCCTGACGCGAGAACCACCGAACGACACTCTCGGAAAGCATCCATGAAAGTCTAAGCAACCAAAGCCACTGTTAAGCACAAGAGATAAACTTACGATCTCAGGACTCATGCACCAGAATGAGAATGAAGACTTCACCCCTGGAACAATAGGTTTAACACCTAAGGGCCCAGTAGTGGAATCTAACCAGACAGACTCCGCATTGTCACTGTATTTCGTATTTTTAGGACCCTATGTCTTAATTAGTTCTACGATCTTGTTATTAAGACAACCTGAGATTGCGAAACTTCCGAGAAACTGTTCTGAGAAACCGCCTTCTCATCAATCTGTTCGAGAGTTATGTTCAACCTGAATATAATTTCAAAATTATTGTTTTTTCCCGGAAATATCACTTATAGCATGTTTTATAACTTTTGTTACTGAAATATGTCTGGAAGTACATCCACTTCTCTATTAAAACAATCGCGACTCCTGATGGTTTGTAATGATCAAGCTCCACAGAACCTTCTTCGTTCGGGGCTGTGAAGCAATGAAAAGATTCCTAAAGCAAAACATCATGTCTTATACAAGGGATCAGAACCATGGTTACCATCACTATGTCGTACTCAGGCGTGCCTTCTTGAAGCAGAATAGGAGGCCTATAGTCTACACCGCCCATCGTATCCTGTATTACTGCCCAAGGCCTGGAATTCATTTCGAGCATTAACGATGATGAGTTATCTCACTCAGTTCTCTGTCGATTGCCAAACATATCTTTAGGATCTTTCATGACAGGGGTAGCCTTGGTCACAAACCATTTCCGGATATTAGAAACTAATTGAACAAGCTATAAAAGGACACACGAAATAAGGAATAATCAGAAGTTACATACCACTCCGTAAGCCTTACTATACTCCATGAGCTTAGCTTTTATAACTTCATCATCACCTTCCGCTGCCGAAAAAGCTGTGATGCTTTCATGCACTTCATTCTCTTGAAATATTTCTATATGGAAACTTCTGTGGGAGACAATAAGATACCTTTCTGTTTCAATGATGTCAGCGCATCGACAATTTCTTTCTCGTAGAAAGTAAAAGATGCTGAATCCCTACAAGTATCTTCTATATTGTGAGCTTCATCCAATATAATAATACTATTCTTCATGACCACGTCAGAAGAGTTACGGATAATCGGATCTGCAATCAGATCGATAGGGCCTGGTTACCCTTCCATCACCTACCCACAAGATAGGAAAAAGGACAAAATATTAAATCTGCATCTTGTGTCAAAATTCGATTTGCTGAGAAATAAGGACATGCAGATGGTCTACCTTCCTTCAGGTTACTAACCAATTCTTCTATGTCAAACACAACAGAGCCCTAAAAAAGAATTCTCATGGAAACGAAGCTTCAACACCCAACCGTCTGCTCAATATGACTTCTCAAAGGCTTTGCTTGATCCATTTTGAAAGTGCGTATATTCGTTTTGTACATACATCCCGGCTGAAACAAGCTTGTGAAACACCAAAACCTTCAATCCTAACCCCATTATTAGATATGGTCTCTTTGCACTTGGACGTTATATCGGCAGATTGACGAACATTTTCGTTTATACAATATTGTTCTCGACTTGCCAAGATTGTGTGTCTTGAAAATAAACTTTGATTCAATAAACATTCGTTCTCTCACTTTATAACACCCGCATATGGAAGTCTCGAAAATTCTTTAACAACCTGTCCGATTTGCTTATGAGTCCGTGTCCCGTAATATATCCGTACTCGCCTGAGTTTTCGTGATAAAGTGGAAACTTGAAAATCTCAAACGTACGGAAGACACGAACATTCCAGTTTCTTCGGATCATCCATCGTTACATCAAACTTGCTCTTTACCTGAAAAAAAATTTAATACTATTTTTGAATCCACTGAACCTTTGAGATCATTGGAGAAGGAATGAAATCATTATCATACTCGTCCTGATCTGAAAAAGTTCAGTCGGTGTGATGATGGAATGCAATCCGTACGTATATGTGGTTTCAATATAGATGTTTCATTCTCAGAATCCAAAATTATGGGATCAGAATCGTTCAAACCATTAGATAACAAAGAAATTTCGCACATATCCTCAAAGGCATCTTCTGTAAGTGACCAATCGTATGTTATAGAACTCTTCAGCTCATACTGTTCTTCTCCAGTCCATGAATCGGACAAGCATTTCGTGCATCAGCTTTCTGATTGTTATAGTTGACAATCCAAGCACATGATGAAGCGAGCAGAGCCAAAGTCTTTCCTGAATGTAGTAGGTTGGAATATGAATGACAATAGCTCCACCTACCACTTCCTGTTGGGCTTTCAGCTAAAACGTTTTGTTTTTTGTTCACAGCTGTTATGATACGAGTTATAATGAGCTTCTGTGATGGGTACAGTTTAACACCTTGAGGGAACTTGACTTTCAAACCACACATAGGCAACGAATCAAAGCAAGTATTATCTATTACTTTCCTGAATTACTCTCATTATCCAGAATTGTTCTCAGCTTACAACCTCGGTCTTTTCTTTGCTCTGCCTTTGAACCATCCTTCAAGTTTATTCCCCTTCTTGTTTGAGAGGGCGATGCTCATTTCGGCCTACATATAATTTGCATTAAAACAGTTTGGAAACTTTAGATTTAAGCTTAGAAATTGAAATTCAAATGACATCTTCAGCAGCTTTTCAAATTTTTATTTCCCGCAAAGTCGAACCGTTGGCGCGAAATGAGTGCAGAACCTTTTCCGGTGTTCTGGACGTGTACAGCAGACGGGCATGGGGGCGTTTCTATTGCAATGATGCATTCACATCTCGAACATCGATTTCTGTGGCTGTTTTACACGTAAATCAGCTGGCAAGCTTTCATTTTCGTTGACTTTTAAACTTCTGTGTCTCCTATTATGTTATAATTTATGTATGCTTGATTTTTTTCCAAAGATTAATGAATTTTAGGTATGAGCGACCCGTGCCAGTGTATATTTGATCATGAGGCTGCTATGAGAAGATTGATTAGCTGGGTGAGGACTATCAAATTTTTTGATTAGAATAGAAACTCGTTTATTGATTAACATTGAAATTCTTGAAAGCAACCGTTCTGTGCAATGTCTTCATCGAGAATGATATCCCATTCGCCTAACTTCAATGGCACGTCATTGCTGCACGGCATTAGAAAGTGTCTCTACTTTCGATTTTGTTCCAAAAAAAACCATTTTCTGATCGAAAACAATAAGCGTCGACGATCAATCGCCTTTTGTTTACCACATTTTGACAATCGTTGATGAAACAGTTATTATTTCAGCTTCGGGAGAATGGAGACCAAACGGGAAATGATGGTTTGCCCGACTCTAGTCCAGGAATGAATTCTAACTCGATGATTATGTGGACTATGTTATGGGGAATGATTGCTTTGGTTATGTTTTTCGCTCGACCAAACTCTTTACGTTCGCGACCTCGCGACACAGCTGAGAAGCCGAGACATGATGACGAGGTTGTCTAAGATTCATTAAACTTCAACTGAAGATGGAATTTTGCAGAATAACCAGCCACCACCACCTGATGTCTTATAAAGACGTATTCAAATCTATCAAACTGTTTCATTCCTCTTAGGATAACCAGACTTCGCTATTAGGCTGATTGTGTACATACTGTATGATGCATTTAACTTTACTAAGAACTTATTATACTGGTACTTTAATCTCTCTCTCTGTCTCCAACTTTAATTTATCTTTTGCTATGTGATCTATCAATCATTTTGCATCGCTAGTCTTTGGGTGATATCTATAAGTACAATCCGGTGTATAACGACCGAGAAAAAACTTTTTCCTCGATTTTTTTTCAATATTAATTTAATACGCAAAGTTACAAATACAGCAGATTACAGGAAGTATGGTGTCAGTATTCTCTCGGGTTTAGCTCCGTCCGGTTCCGGGACACTTTCGAAAACCCGAGCTTCTCTACTTCCATCTGGGGATAAAGCTAGAACTGCTGCTAGATTACCACATCGATAACAGTAGTTAGGAGCTGAAACAGTTAACATCATCAGAGAGAACGAGTAACCCTTCCTAACCAGACCAAACAGTACATAATTTCTCATCGAACATATATTTAATCCCTTCGTCAACTAACTGATGAGAGCGACATATGAGATCCAAACCATTCGTTTCCAAAAAGCTCGCTACAACATTATGACCAAACAACTGAAGTGAAATGCGGTTTTGGGGATTTGTATTGAAAAGGGAACTAACCCATCCTGCTCCCCGCTGGCTCATGATGTAACCTTCGAGATCATCTTCAGGATCCGACCACATAATATCACAGAGGGGACCCTTCATTATGAATGATATTCGAACGTGGATGCGTGTTCACCAAACCTTATTCGGAATTTCACCAGCTCTATCCAGACTCATCATCTTATCGATCGATTTTATTTCTGGTGAAAGCCCTCCATGTACACACATGACGGAATCGTCAATAATGGCTGCGATAGGCAGCATATCGAAAACCTAAAAATCGTAGTTGGAACCAGTAAACAAGTTGATAATCACTTTGCAAAACCATCGATATACCAGTGAATGTCCGTATTTGTTTTGACATTCGTCGTAGAAGCCATAAACAGAAGAAATTCTACGAGATTCATGATTTCCACGTAACAACGTGATTCTATCAGGATAACTGAAAAGCTTCGGAATGGAAGCTGCCGAGTAAGAAGAAGATAGTTACCGTAGAAGGAGAGCAAATAATAATGTACAAGTTTCCAAACTGTGATGTCCTCTGTCCACATAATCACCCATGAAGATATATTTCGTGTCAGGCAAATCACCACCTTAAAGCAGTCAATGACGATGATGATCTTGGTGGAGGGATATACCAATTTTGAATAATTCAATCAAATCAAAGTATTGGCCGTGAATATCACCGCAAACTGTTACAGGAGAATCAACACTAACTACATTAGGAAGCAGAGCTAATCGAGAAATTAAACTAAGAGATTGAAAGAGTTAGATGAAGTACACATGAAGACGAACTCACACATTGCACAAAGAGATTATCTCTTCCTCTGGAAGATACTTGCATTCTTTCGATAACTGAACCCATCGATCAGGATCGACTTTCGCCGACGATACACTGAAAGGCCATTGTATCTTTTGGTCAGCCAAAGATGACTTACTCGATTTTCAGATTATCCACCATTCTTTCCAACACATCTTCAGGTATGTGACTGTCCTCAGGCATGACATCATCTGTGGCATTGGACGTCTCATCGTTGCTCATTTTCCTACTTAACAAACAGAATCAAACGCAAAACAGAATCAAACGAAGTAGGAATGAGGACGAGACCATTGAAACGGAAGAAATCGTGTATTTGAGTTTCATGAAAACCTATCCTAAGTAAGAAAACAATCTAAGCGTATGTAAACTATTCAAAAAAACAACAAAGTCAATCAATAAGTTCATCACAATTTCTTATTCTACAACAACACCAACTTGGGCAGCTCTGATTGGTCGTTCTTTCAAAGAATAGCCTACTTTAGCTACATGACCTATACAACCAGCATCCACACTTGGCATCTGAACGACATACAACCGTTTAAAACACACAATCACAAAGTAAAAGAGAAACCTGAGCTTTAGGAAGTTGGAACACAGCTTCATGAAGATTAGGGTCGAACTTCTCCCCTTGTGGATTAACAGACACTAATCCATGCTTAGCAAAAGTTTTGTGTAAAACCTAAAGCACGGCATGACGTAAACTGAATTTTCAAGTATCTAACTGTTTTGGTCATAACGATTCCGTCGTGCAAGTTTTTGAGAGCTGGATCAGCTTTCGCTAAATCTTCTTCCTTGATAGAAGTAACGGCGAGATCCATAATATCAGCGACCTGAACATGAAAATGGCTATGAGGGAAGTCAGAACAATGAGCGTTGTCACTTCTAACAAGTCCTTACAGAAACCTTGAATGGCAAACAACTTGGCTTCATCAACTAGTCGATTTCCTCTGTTTCTAACATTTTGAGTTTCAGCTAACGAACGCTGATATTTGTCCTTTAAGAGCATTCATCAAGAAAATTCAAATTAGAAAACGATTACCTTCCAATCACTACTTTCAGAATTGACTGAATCGAACTCTTGGAGAAGAACATCGAAAGCTGCTTTCGGCACAGTTTCTTCGGAGATCACAGATTTAATACTTTCCAAATACTCGGCACCTTCAAGTTGGAATTGAGAAACACAAAATGATGAAATCACACCTGTTAGCCTTTTGCCATTCTTATTAATTTCAAATTTAACATCACTTTGTGATTCAGCAGTGGATGAGGAATATCTTGAAGCTATGGATATTCTGAAATACGATTGAATACAAAAAAAACTTCGTGGAAATGACTCACCTACTGGAAGAAGCGACTGAAAGTCCACTACGAGCTGTACTTACTAATTTGGCTGCCTGACGAGAAATCATGGCTAAATGCTGTAAATTAAATATTTGAGATTCCGAAGTTTAAATTAAAATTTCAAACGCTAACTGAAACATTTTCTTTGATTACGTAAGATTCAAAACGAACGGAGGTTTTATTTATCCGACCAATTCCGCGTGGGACCAGTTTTCGGTAAAATTATATATTCACATAGAACTTTTGCTAAATTGAATGATTAAATATATACAAAATTGTGTTGTTGTTACATAAAATAGAAAACGAATATAAATAACAGAAGGTTTAGACATAATGGATGAGGAAGAGCAGAAAGGATATACTTGGGAGGCTGGATATGCCGAAGGTTCGTTCTCTATCACTTTACCTCGTTTTACTTCCTTCATACCAAGGACTGAATATCAAGGAAGTTTTGGAAGAAGATGAAACGGGTTCAATTGAGAAGTCTATTGCTAAATATGTGTTAGAAGCTAGAAAAAAACAAAGATGTATAGACAAACCTGCCAAAGTTAGGCTAGGGATTGTAAGTTTTGAACAACTCAATGCACGATAATGATGTTGCGCCAATTCAGATGAGATATGTGTATATCGTGTTGGATTTCTCGAGATTCATCCAAAACAAAAGCATGCCTCCATCCAAATACTTTGTAACTATGAAAGTGAGTTGTTGAAGATACTGCTTAACTCCTCTTCTACATTTGAGGTTATCGACAATTTCTTAGACAAGTTTTTCGAGCAAAATCCTATTGCACAAGCAGGATTCATTATTTGTAAAGACAAGAAAGCGGATCGTTTCATTAGCTTGACAGGTTCCCATTCCGAAGCTGTAACTTTCTTCATTTCGAACTCAAGGAAACATCCGTACCATCAAGGAACAGCTTGCAACCCTGAATGAAGCATCCTGCAGTGGGGATTTCTCGCTGCAAAGCAGTTTACAAGTCGCTCTGGCTAATTTAAAGTCAGTGAATGAATGATCTCCTCTCTCTTAAACATCCTTTCAGAGAGTTGCCGGGCCATGTTTCAAGAGAAGTAATTGTTCTCATGGCCAGTTTAACTTCTGTCGATGGCGGAAGTATATTCTCTACATTTGAGGTTGTCATACTTGTTATTATCAAGGAGTTCTACTCCAAATCTTTCAGTTACTTAAAGCTTACAACATAAGATGTTCGGTCATCGGTTTGAGTGCAGAAATATTTGTTTGTAAACAACTCTCTAAAGTGACTAATGGTAACTAAAATTAGAAGAGCTTCTCATACTTCTCTAACAGGTCGATATGACATTGTGCTCGACCCTGATCACATGGAGCTACTTATGTCCAATCACACTACTCCTCCTCCATCCATGAAGTCTACAGAATGCAGTGCTGTACGAGTTGGCTTTCCTCCTCATGCTGCCATAAATGTGAACTCATTTTGTCAATGGTGAGTTGCGTGAATGAAAGATTTATGTAATCATGTGTTCACAGTCATCCTCTCACTCAACCAGTTTCTGATCGAGGGTTCCTTTGCGAGCAATGTGGTGCTAGGCATTGCAGTCTTCCTGCTGAATGTCGAATCTGTAAGCTTACTCTAGTGGCTGCTCCTCAACTCGCAAGAGCGTTTCGTCACTTGTTGCCTTTGCCAGCATTCCAGAGCGTAACAATCGAAGAGTGAGTTCTTAATTACCTAGTCAATTGTGACAATGAGAAACTTTCAGAGATGAATGTGCGGGTTGTGAGCAACCTATCACTCTTGAAGGTTTTGCTTGCAAGAATTGTTCTCACGTTTTTTGTTTTGATTGTGATCTTTTGCTGCATGAAAGTCTCCATATATGTCCGAGATGTGACTAATAATTTTATTATTATGGGTATTTTAAGTTTTAATAAATTGATTTAATACTGATGATATTCGATATTAATGAGATACAAGTGACATACGCAGGAATGCCTTGTTAAAGCTTCTCCGTTTCTATTGCACAACCTGTCCAATGGTTGAAGCCATCATGCGACATTAATTGGAAACACAAGAATCAATAAGTGGAGTTGAGTGTGGAGGTCTGATAATTGCCAAAGCTGTGATCCCTATGAAGAAGATGATGTAAGCAGTTACGCAAATCCTTCGAATGATCTTTTCATAAACATGATCCTTCAGACAAATAGAAGTTTAGAAAAAATAGAATAATCTATCAACAAACCACTATGTTATAGAGCACAAAAACACCAAAGCAAACACCCGTTAGTCCACCTGCGAAGTGAGCCGCATGAGATATCTGATTGAAACAAGTCAGAGAAGACAGAGAAGATGCACTTACCATATCACATTCATTCAAATAATATCTCCTATAGAGTGCACCCCCAACGTCATATGTGAGAAATACGCCCAACACAGCTAACCTAACCCAACGGAAAGGCATTTCAGACCAATTCTTGAAAAAAAGATTGAAATTTAATTGTGATGGAACATAGTTCTAAAAGGAATTTTTTTGAGAGAAAAGATAGTTTCGCAACCGTCCTGCACGTTTGAAAATGGAAAATGAAAAATGCAGGAAAAACTGCTACGTGAACTTCACGTGGAATGGTAAACGTATGCAAATTCTTACCAAAAACACATTAGCTAAATGAGCAGTGATGAGTGCATATACTCCAGCCGAAGCACCCGCCAATAGTACGGATGAATCTACAGAGTACTGGAGAAGAGCACCTTAAAACCAACATGTTCCATGAAGAGTTCATATAAACAGTACTTACCTGAAGTAACAGCGAGAACATACAATGGACCGATTCTCCAAATTTTGTGAACGACTTCAAGGGGGATGCCAACAAGTAATTGGATAATAACATTACCCAGCAAATGATGAAGTCTTTAAGAGGAGCAGATGAAGATAGTCGAAATCAAAAACTTTGATACCCAGAGTGAAGTAGAGCATATGAAGTAAAACGCCAAGCTTGTTCTCTAAGCTTGGGAACGAAGAGAAAGACTCCATAGTTTCCACCATGATTGCAACCAGCGCAGTAAGTCCAAATATCAGCATGAGATCCATCGGGTAAAGTGAAAAAATAATACAAAAAAACTCCAATCTGAATTGAAATATAAGTATCATTGAGGGAGAAATAGAACTTCGATTAAGGTGATTAGTAAAATGAAGATGGGTGGAGGGCACAGGGTGTATTCGTCAATATAAGAATGAACATCTACTTTCTGACTAGGTGTGATGAACTGAAAACGAAACAAATCTTTCAGAATAACTGAAACGCTTTATCTTACTCCATCAGCAATGGTGTACAGCACACGAGCAACTTGTGACTTCTGTGCATCCTTGCTAGATATCTGAAATCACAATGAGAGGTGGAAAATCTGAAATGCACCAAGGTAACTTACTAATTCGGAAAATTCTTCGACAGTAATGACTTCGTCTTTGTTCTTGTCCGCATTCTCACACAATGTTTGAACCTAGGCTAACATGAAGAATACTGACAAAGAAGTTTGAATACCTGAGTTGGTGACAGTTTCAATGAACCTCTCTGTTGCAGAAGACGTTCTCGGAAAACAGACATTGGCATGGAATCGATCTCATCATCTGTAGCTAGCTGAAGGAGAAGGAATGTTATGAATGGATTGATTGAAATACCCTGCTGAACTGTATTTTATGTTTTTCTCTGTAAACGTTAGAGTGCATTATGGGATGTGTTGAAAACTGAAATAGGATGTGTTGAAAATGAGGAGACCAAAAAAGGATTGAAAAATATGAAAAAAGATTAAATGCGTCATAAAGCAAATATAAATGGCAGAATTTTATGTATTTGACACAAACATTGCTCATCTCACGTAATTTTCAATGAACTCATGAGACGTCTTCATCATGAAACTCATAACTGTGGCAGATTTACAGTAAAAACAAGAGCAGGCTGTCCGGTCAACAAACAGAAATAATAGAGCAGCTGCGACAGGTGACAACCGTAATTGGTCTACTCCATATACAGCATTCCTTTTATCAAACGCTCATATACGAAACTGCTTTTATAACATTTCAAATAGATTATTATTTTGCTACGTAACTGAGTCATTGTCAGTGTTCAGGCTGAAGCACAGATCAAAACGAGAAGATAAGGGCATAGTTAACAAGAGCAGAAACGAAGGTTTATTTTGATTTCAACGCATTGTTTCAAGACAATGTCTGAGCAACAGACATATATTATGAAACATTAAAATGATACAAAACGCCCAAGAAACGTTACAGATGAGACAGCTTAAATGAATGCGATCGCACTGTCTGTTGAAAGCGATGGGAATGATAACACTCAAACTAAGATGCATCATAATGATTTGAATAAAAAAAACAAATGCCACGTCAGCAGGTGATATCTAGAAGCATGTTTATCTATATCATTGACAAAGTTATGATAGAGCATGTCAGTGCAGACTAAAGGAAGACAGTCTCTTAGCTCCATTCAACATCATTATCTGATGTAGTGAGTGATGACATTCTGTCTTTCGTCAACTCACACACACACGCAAACTGTGTTTGTCAGAACTTAAGTCAAGAATTATCATTTAAGAATCAATTGCGAGTTGAAAAATAGCTGAAATGTTGAAAGAAACCTGCCATTTATTATTTCACAGATCGAAAAGTAAACACTGAGGGCGAACGTATTCAAACAGAACTACCGAGCGAGATAAAAGACAAAACGACAAGCATTTCTTTAATTACATCATGTAATATTCATAATTGAGAAGCTAATCATTTTATCAAAAAATTATCGAAAAGCTGCTACTTTTCAAAAAACATGACCCAATGCGAATGGACAGGCGCGAAAAGTTATTTTTTGAATTCTCGTCAACGCTGCATATGCTAATGACGTTATATAAGTGTAATTATGTTGTTTTTTTTCTGAAAATCTGTTCGAAAATAGTATTTCATGACTTTGCCCATAGCGTGTTCACAAGTTGTTTCATTAATTTTAGATAAATGTCATTAGATGCTTTAAGAAACGCGCTCAATGAGATTCGCGACAAGTTGACAGTATCTGTTTCACAGCCTAAACTACTGAAAGCATTAGTAAGTCAATGCTCTCCTTGAATACTTAAAGATGATTCATGTCATTTCAGTGTCGAAACCATAATTTAGATTTGAATACTGATGAATGCAAAGATATATTGAAGAAAGGAACTGAGTTTTTCAATCAACGACTAGACGAGAGAGTGAATGAGTTGATCGACGAATGCAAAGTACGTTCGCCACATTTATTTTAATTTGTATTTATGATTCTTTACAGTTACAAGAGAAGATTGACCAATTAGCTAAGATTACGGCCGAGTGCGTTTCGTTCAATGAAGAGTTAGGCGTTGATTTAGGTTATCGGTTTGGAAAGGTTAGTATCATATAAATGAAGGAAAGTCATATCATATTCCTCTTGCAGCCGAGAGACGAAGTGTTACCTTACATAAAAAAAGTTCAGTCAAACTATCAAGAATCACTAGAGAGCGAATATGTCGGTTTACAACAGGAACTCGCTAGGCTCCAAGCCGAATATCAAGATAAGTCTGTTCAACTAGGAGAGAGAATGAAACAATTTGAGGCAAGAATGATGTCGTAAGAAAAATTTTCATTTGTATCATCATCAGTGTACTGTATATTTCATTTCCAATAAAATTTGAAGTGCCTAGTGAGTGTTCTAAAGACTTCTGAAGTAACAACAATTGATTTTTACAAAAGGCAAAACATTTTGACCACTGAGCGGATCGAACGCCCAACCTTTCGATCTGGAGTCGAACGCGCTACCATTGCGCCAAGCAGTCACGAAACCAGTCTGCTCGGCTAGCATAATGAAAGAAGGGTCAATACTGGCGCTGGGAATTATGTACATGCAGACCAATTAAAATCCTATGTTTTGTTATGTTTCGCGCATACTCCTTTATGATTCCGATTGTGCCCTTTAGGACATCCGCAGCTGAATGTTGCAATATCCGGATGATATGAGCAAGGCCTCAATTCAGCTACACATTCATTGCCAAAGTGCTCGCAGTAATCTTGAAAGGGGGAAGTAAGTTTAGAGGTCTATTGGAATTTTTACTTTCGTCGCTGCCATCAATGCAATCTTTTTTTTCATCCAACACTTCAGCGCTGTCTATGCATTCACCACTCTGACAACGGAATTGCCCCAACTCACAAGATTTTGGTATAGTGGCTAAAACATTGTAATGACTGGACGACTAAAACAACTGACCAGTTTTGTTGGTTGGAACAGTAGTCGTTGTTTCTAAGGTGATATTTGAGCTATCGGTTTGACAATTGATTATTCCCGTGGTACAAGGGTCTTCAATACTGGCTATGACAAAGAATTTCATTTTTAAAACTCCTTCACCTTCATCACTGCCATCTCCACAATCATCCTTGCCATCACTTAGCCATTCTTGAAGAACACAATTGACAGTTGAAAGACAACGTACTGAATCATCCTTGCTGCACAGCTTTTGCCCTATAATTGACAGAAAAAACAACAAGAATATATATATTCATGGTTTTTGCAAACATTTTCGATCATAACAGGCTTGCAATTGATCTTGAGCAGGGACACATTGACCACATTGGAAGTGTTCGGTTCCTTGATCACAGAATATTTGACCTCGTCCACAAACTGGAAGAAAACTATTATATGAACTATACGAGGAAACTCAATTAGCATAATATGAAAAATCACGTTTACGTCGACTATTTTGAACAATTTTATTTCGAACAAGTGTACGCAAGTGAGCGGTTGTAATTGGTTACGGTCATGAGTCCCTTTGAAAGTTGAAACAAACTTACGTTCATCAGCTCCATTTGGACAATCTTTGATACAATTACGAACTAACGAGAAGGATATACAGGTAGGTATGAAAGATGTTGGATCACAGTCAAATTGGTTAAATGGGCATCGGAATGTTACATGCGCTGGATAATCTGAATTGACGACGTCACAACGATTGTTTTTTTGCTTTTAAAAAAGAGAGAGAGAGATGATCAAGTTACCTTGTGGATGAGGTGGTAATGCTGTAACGCTGAAGACTAGGAAGAGAATAATCATGATAAACATATGGAGAGGATGATGCATAGCATCACAATGTGGAAGTTTGAGTTATGTTTCAAGCAATTTTCACAGCTGGATGTCATGGGCGAGAAATTGACAAAACGAAGTAGCAAGTTAGTTTTTGATCGAAGTTTTTGAGTTCGTATGAACAGGAAAAAAAAAGAAGTTTAGCTTCTATATATATGCTTATATATAACGGCAATTCAAATGTCTTATTGTGGATAGACGAGAGTGTGTGTCTGTGTATGGGTATGTGTGTGGGATGCATATGCTATACGAAGTCAAGGTGTGTTCAGAAGCTTTTCCTTCATTCAATGATTTGATTCAACATTCACATCATCCTCAATAACATCAGAAGATTCTTTAATCCCAATTGTCTTTGCGTATGTGTGTGTGTGTGTGTCAATGTGAAAATGAAAAAAAAAGAACTGCGAAGATGGTTGTTAAGTATCCAACTCTCTGTCGTCAAACACACACACACACACATCTTTCGTTTGTTTGAAATTGCTTGGAAATATCATTGAAACCTGTTGAGAGAGGATGTAAACTCACGCAGTTATTGTACAAATCTCATTGAGCAAGTAGAGATTTGTTCGGAAGAAACTTCAAAATACATTTGACGTCATATATCTTTGAATCTCCTCTGCGTGTTGACGGCTAACCAAAGGACACATAGTTAACATAGAAGACGAAGTTTTCATTTTTCATGGTCATTCTCTATGAAACTTTCGATTGACGACGACAACGACAAACTTCTTGAAGATCATCGGCGGTTTTGTTGAAGATGTCGGGAGGACGAAAAAAACTTTTTTTTTCTCAAACTCCCCACCCTCCCCGTTTTGGGTGGGGCTGAAGCGTTTGTCGGTCAGATATTGGTGGTGCACGGTTGGCGATTTAATCATGGTCGTCTGTGGCCACAAGATGTCGTCGATGTCATCAAAGAACTTTGCAATCATTGACAAAACTTGGCGATCTCTGAGGTTGGAAAGGTTTTCGTTTTGAAAAAAAGTATTGGGGGGGGGTGAGAGTGAGAGAGACAAAGAAAGTAAATGAGAGAGAGAGATAGAGATAGAGATGGGAGTGTTTAAAGCCATGACGATCATCGGTCGCTAAGTGAGTGGCCTTCCATGTGGGTGTTCTTTTGTTGTTGTTTTGTTGATTTTCTCAGACTTACAAGGGGATTTATATCAATGATTTATAATTTCTGATTGACCATGGGTGTGGTTGATGGGCGCTCTTGGGCTGTTCATCGTCTATTTCATGTATTTCCATGAACTCTTCAGATAATGATTATGGTTAACCTCCAAGGCAAACAACTCTCATTATTGGACGTTTTTTTCCGAAACAGTCGTCTATACTGTAGTTTGTTTCCTTTTTTTTTCTCTTCAATGGCAGACTAGATGAAGAAGAGAGAGAGAGAGAGAGAGAGAGATTGAAGAGAGAACAAGAGAGGAAACGATGGGGTTAAGACGATACAGAAGGTGTGGTGGCTGTGATCGCAAGTCTTCTGACCTGCGTATTTCCCCGTATTTAGGTGCTTTTACCTGTCATTAGCCTGACTAGTCGCCAACAGTTTATTGCTTCTTTATGAGTCTTAACAAGAAAAACCTGATGTGATTGTCTCCACTTAATGTCATAACGTTGACCAAATGTAACCGTTGATGTAAAAAGGATTTCAATTTCAGTTCCAACACATGCGGTCATAAGCTTACAATCACAATGGAGCATAATGATTGTGAGCGCTGTGGATGAATGTGCATTCACATAATCAAGGTGTATGTGTGTATGTGTTGGTGGTACTTCTGAAGATGTTGGAAAAGGAGGACGATAGGATACACACAATAAGGGTTAAGAAAGAGATCGAAAACGCAGAATGATGAAGAATTTTCAGAGAGACGACGCTTAGCCAATTAATGGCTTTATAGATTGTGTTGTTGAACACACACACATACACACACATACATACACATACGCGTTCACACATACAAACTCAGCAGACAAAAAAGCCATTTTTCCATTCTTCCAACTCTTCTCTTTGCATGAGAATGTCTGCTCTACTTGTTTTTAATGTTCATCGTCATTACCGTCTCGATTAGGGTTAAAGGGGGGTAAAAGGGCGGAGATGAAAAAAAAGTCAAAGAGGTGGAAGGGGTGGTCCTGATTGAGCGTGTCATCAGTGATAGAGAAATCATCTCAAGAGATAGAGAGAAAAAGAAACACAGACACATATAGAGGGAAAGAGATAGAGAGAGAGAGAGAGATACAGAGAGGAGACACCCAATTTTTCTTCGCAGACTACAGAGTTTCCGACCCATGAATGTCATGTACCACGCCCTACTACCGGCGATTTTTCAATCTCTCTTCCTCTCTGTTCTTGTTGCTTCTCATTCTCTGACAGTCTCATTCTCTATGTAATTGCTTCATCACAGATAGTTTCTCCCCATTGTTTTTCTTATTATTAAAATAATATGTTATAGTTTAAGCTTCTTCTCAAAAGCAACAGCATCTTCATCATCATCTATTCCCATTCAACTATATTTGAATTCGTCTATCCGTCAAATTCTTTTTTTACTTTTCTTCCTCCAAAATGGTGACAGCTGCTCATTGCAGAACTGAGTGTCAAAGTTCAAGCCAGTTGTTCATTTTTCTTTTCTTTTTTTTTTTTTTTTTTGTAAAAACCTCTCATACCTGTAAATGTAAAATAAGTTTTCGTTTTTGCTTCCCTTCTCTGCTTCTTCATCCTCGTCGTCATCGTCATCGTTGTCGTCGTTGTCGTCTTCTTCTTCTTCTTCTTCTTCTTCTCGCTTCTTCTCACTTCTTGTACGTATTCGTAGTTTTCGTCGTCTTTATTTGAAAGCCATCATTTTAAAATGATTCTTGAGTGATTTGCTTGGCCATGTGACTTGATAGAGATGAATCATGCGATCCCCAATAATTCTTTTTTTTCTTCACGTTTTAAGAACCCATTTTAGTACTTTTCTAAACAAACAGTATTATGAGCTGAAACAACCGCTCTCTTCATCTCTTCATGACTGAAAATGAAAACTGAGATGATCTATGCAAATGACACACACACACACACATACACACACGCACAGAAGGAGAAGGAGAGAGATAGAGAGTGAGATGAAGGAGGTTAACACAATGAACGAATGCATCAGCTCAGCTTCAACAAAGATCATCAGTTGATGTGTGAATTACCTTATTAGGATGAAAACCTGATTCAAAGACGTAAATGATAGCCAATGATCCATATTTTCTTCTTGATCATTCTCTTTTAAAGATCTCTCTCTCTCTCTCTATATCAGTCTCTTCTGTCTCCCCATCTCTCTCTCTCTTTCTCTCCCTGTCTTCCCTTCTAAGCGGTTCGGAAATTTCTTGAAAGGAATATTAAAACTGTGTTATATGGAGTTCCACATGGAAACTTCCTTGTAAATTCATTGTATTTCACTTTGTCGCTTTTTCTTTTCCTCTTCTTCTTCCAGGTTTTCAGGCAGAAGATGCAACATGCCTTCTTAACATGTTTTCTTCCTTTTATGTTATTTTTTATTAAAAAAAGAAGAGAAACCGGATCAATTTATCTTTTCTCACCCCCTCTCTCTCTCTCTCTATCTTTGCTTCCTCTCTCTCTCTTTCTCTGCCTCTCTCTCCCTGTGTCCATCTATTCGTATATCATTCCCTCTTTTTATATCCACAGAGAGAGAAAAAGAGAGATAGACATAGAGAGAGAGAAAAGAATCTGAGTTACTTGAGCACATTTCGAAGATGAAGACACGATTGGGGTTGTGGTGGCGACCAGGCTCGTCCTTGAACAGTCGCATGGCCAATGCTGAAAGTGCCAATGACGTGTTAAAGCTGGTGTTAAGACGTATGGGAAAAAAAAGATAATTTGCTTATCAAAATATACATTTCGGCTGTTCATTATGATAAGCATCATCTGATTATGATTTCTGATGATTAGAAGAGGTGAGTTGGAAGAAAGGGTGAGAGAAGAGAAAAAAAAAGTTTTTTTTTTTATTGAAGCGATTGTTGTCTTTCATCCTCTGCACCACTACCACCACCATCACCACCACCACCACACGGGAGAGGAGAAGGGGGGGGGGGGGAAGATGGGAAGGAGTGAGAAGAGACGTCGTATTGAATTTCCATCTTATCTTTAAAACGATTGAGAAACAAAACTTTTCCTTAAAGCTTATGTGTCTCTGTTAATATGATCTTTTCTCTCTTTTTAATTAAAAAATGAACATTTCCATCCTTGCATTGCTTCCGTCCTTTCCTTTCCTTCCATTCCTTTTTTTATTTCATTATCAGCGATTCTTTCATTGCCACGCCCTAGTTTATTCATGACGAGACCATTTACGCTAACTTTCTGATGACTTCACGTGAAGAAGCCACAATGACGGTCAATCAAATTATATTTTTGCAAAAATTCCATTTCGACACATACACACACACCACACACACACACACACACACATGCAGCCTGCACGCATACACATCCACATGCTTCACACTGATTTCAATTCTGAAACAGATCACCCACATCATTGGACATGGAGAAAAAAAGATTTTTTTTCCTTCTTCTTCTTTTCTTCCTTCCTTCCATGATCACGCACACCACACATGGACATACACACCATCAGAACACACCCATTCATCCTTGCTGTCGTAATCATTGATTAGTTTCGAATAATTGACGTGAAGACATACGTGAAACTGCGTGAAAAATCATTTTTATCCATATCAGATGTTCTGAGCGGTTGCTTCTTCTATCTTCCATCCGCCATCATCCTCTTTCCTCCTCTCTCTCTCTCTATTGCTCTCTGTTTCTCTCTCTCTCTCCTTTTCTCTCTCTATCTCATCCCATTTCTCGTACTTCTTCTTAAATTTTTCTCTCCTACACGGTATCAGGCAGCCTATCAGCAAGTCAACCATCAGCAACATCATACATTCTTTCAGTTTCTCCCAAACCTGTTGTTCATCATCAGAAGTTAGAATGACAGACACACAGACAGTATGGGCGTTTCCCGTCTTGTGAACTCTGTGAACACACGAGTCTTCCCCCCTCTCTCCTCGTTTCCCTCTTACTCGTCACATCCATTGTCGCACAATTTTGATTTACTTTTTTGTTTTTTTTCTTCACTTCCACTAACCATTTTTTGACTCCAGAATGTATTCCTCTCGTGACTCTCTGTCTCTCCGTCTCTCTCTCTCTCTCTATCCATCTCTCTTACGTTCTAGCTCTCTTCTCTCTGACCTTCTGACCAAGCATCATCCAAGCTTTTCCTTGAAATTATTTATTTTTTTTGATTTTTCTAAGACCACCCATATGTAACAGGCCAATTATTACGTATCTTTTGAGAACAAAAGATGTTTTTGATTTGTTCCATCCATCTCTTCCTTCTCTTTCTCTTACCACCTCCCTTCTCTCTTTCTCTCTTTGACTACTTGATCGGTCCATCACAGCATTCTCATTTTCTTGATTCTGAACGTTCTTTCATAAACTTTTCTTAAAACCATGCAGCTTACTCTTATACTTCATAACATTCAGCTCATTGTATTCTTTGAAATGCTTTCAAGCTGTTCAGATTCCCACCTGTCGTTTCCGTTCATCTGACATCTCCACACACCATTTTAAATCTTCATCTCCTTCTCCATCCTACTGGTCATCTTAGAGAAAGAACCAAATCCGCACTTTCACCATCATTGTGCTTAACGCTTTTCAGCGAACGCTGTCCATTTACATCTTCTTTCTCACACACAAACACACCCAAGGCCGGAGTTTAATTTTTCGAAAAATTCAAAAAAAAAAAAAAAGAAACAACCGTTCGTTGAGAAATCCTACATTCGAAATGATCTTCACGTGATTTCCACGTACTCCGAAATATAAAACTTTTTGAAATATGTTAATTGTTTGAAAAATAATGATCAACTGGTCAGCTACTGTTCTCTCTCTCTTCATTTTTCTCTCTCCCTCTTTCTCTCTTTCCCTCTCTCTCTCTCTACATCATCTTCATCATCATCATCTCTATCAAACACTTCGTCTTCTTTCTTTCTCTTCTTTTTCCGATCTTTGTTTAACATCTCGAATAGCCAAAAGCCTGCAAAACCATGTTGGAACGGAAAAGCTGAACACGCTCGAAGATTTGATTGAAGAACGTCTGATCATTCACTCTGGAACTTGGTCTGAAAGTTATGATCATCTGATGTAAGATCGATGAAAATAGAACTTGTTTTTTTGCCTTCTATGTCATCACCCAGTTAGATGTGCTTGTCAACTAAATCTCTTTCTCTCTCTTTCTCTCTCCCTCTATACCATGTATACCCTTCTCTCTCTCTCTCTCTCTATCTATCTCTCTCCCTCTATATATATATATATTTCTCTATTGTGTTTAAAAGTATTATCACAACTCTCTTCTATAAGCCCTCAGGCCATTCTTCTTCAGTCGATACAATCTCCTGGCTATCCGCCTCGTTTGTTTTTTTTTTGTTTTAAAATTGAATTCTTCAAAGTCTTTCTTGCTAACTTTCATCAATTTTGAAATATCTTGTGATTTCCTTATCAATCATGTTGTAATTCTGCATGTTTTAATCATTTTTTCTTTGAAATTTTCATTCAATTGATTTAATCATCAGAAACGATTGACGATAATCCTTCCTGTCCAATTAAGGGCATATGAGAAGAAGCTTCTTCTTCTCCTTCTTCATCATTCACCTGCTGTGCTTCTTCTCCTTCTGCACACAAGCACTGAATAAGAACATTAGAAAAGATTCTTAAAGTCAAAAGGTCATCTTGGGCGTGGTTGACAACAGCCTCATCTCTTTGTTGGTCCCCTTCCCCACTACTACTTCCACCCTCTTCCACACCTATCCCCCCCTCTCTCTCTCTCTCTCTCTCTCTCTCTCTCTTCCTTTTTTTCTTCATCACCACCTTTTCTAACCACGCAACAGTCCACCATTACCTGTCTTTCCAGCCCATCAAGTCATCAAGTCCATATCGTCTTCTCCTCACCACCAATTTCCATCTTTTTTTTTTCTTCGACATCTTTATAATTCTCTTTTTCACATTAAAGCTCAAGACAGCATGCTCTCCATTATTCATTTTCTTATTCGTCTTCTTGGTTTTGGTCGTTTTCTTCATTTCCCCCTCCTCTTTCATACGTTAACACCGTTTCAATTCTCTCTATTACAGAACCAGCCGGTCTGGATGATTAACAACACCGGCAGTTCGTTCGAATCTAAGGTTCAATCGTCAACAAGCTCATCCACAACGACGTTCTCTGTCGAAAATGTAGTTCATTTGCCAAATAAGCCACGCTTATCGATAGATGCTACTGCACGAGCAACCAATTCCATTCGATTATCACCAGGATTTTTAGAAGCCGGTTAGTTCACTTACATCCATCTCCATATATAGAGCAACATAAAGAAAACAAAACAAAAGCAAAGTACATATCGAGTTCACGTAAAGTTCACGTGAGATCATGCTTTATATGTAATCAATCCTGAAACTTAATGCTTCACAAATTTCCTTCCTTTGTGTATCATTTTCGAACACTTCTTTGTCTTTTGTTTTTGGATTACTGTACTGTCAGACGGTACAGTATCCATCTCCCCCCCCCCCACCTCATCATCACCAATACCTCTCTACTCATACTGTATATCTTTAAATTGCAATTTTTTTAAAAATTCTTCAAAAATTTGTGATCATTCAGTTGCTTCTGGAAGTAACGATGATGAAATTTCTAATCGAATTCACGAAGCTACTCGTTGCTACAATCAGTTTGGCGCTCAGTTCTTTGAAAGGTACGATTCGCCTAAATTGATGTTTCATTTGTCGTTTTTTCCTTTTCTGCAGATTCCGTGAAGAACTGAATGGAACATCAGCAGCTTATGACAGATTACGTACGAACTCATTGCGACGACGACTCAGCAAGGTAATGCTTGAAACATCTAACATCCAAACAGAATATGATAAAGGTGTGAGAGTGTGCGAGGTGTGCGTGTGAGAGCAATGGTTGGAGCTTCTATCATTATCATCATCTCATAATTTTTGTGACCGGTTGTCTGCTAAATAACGGAAGAGCCACACCCTATAAGGGTGGAGGCGATCTTTTCTGGTCAACGTCAAGAAGATTACGGTAGCTGATCAGACACCCCTCTTTAACAGCAAATGATGATGTTGATGCCAAAATATCTTCCAGCTGTAGAGGAACAGGACATCAAAAATGATTTTAAAGTCATTAGACAGTGTGCAGACTGAAGAGAGTAATTGTTTTTCCTCTTTTGCTCTGGCATGTTCAATTCGAAGAGACAGTTGACCATTATGAAACGGGTGAAGACGTCTTGTTGACTAGAAAGCATTTCAAATGAAATCTGTGGGAAATTCAGAGAACAGTTTTTGGGAATGATCACAACCTATTTCAAGCGTTCTAAATATAGAAATAACTATGTTAACGTATCGTTCAATATATTATAAATACATTATAAAAGCTTATGACAATACATATTTCTGCCCTTCAGATGGATAGTGCCGACGATTCTGGCAGAGCTACAACATCATCAGATACTTCATCTCTATCTGATCTGCAGTTAGAAGAAGAATCTACTGGAGGTAATGATATCATCATGAACACACATAATCACACATCCTGTTCAGCCTTTTCCCCTTTTCGTTCACGTTTATCCGCGTTCCCGTCATCTCAATCCTTATTCGAATCCCATGAGTTCCCGAGTGTTACTTCCCGTCTGGAGCAATTACAAAAAGATTTCTTTGAATATCCACATAGTCAGTTCATATCAGAAAAGAAGCCGGAAAATCTAACTTTCAATACTTCAGAAGCGTTTTCCACTCTATCTGGTTTCCAAACACCAACTACAGCTTTAGGAGCAGCTTTCCAAGATTTGAATATGAAAAGTAATAGTAGACGAATTGAGTATCTCGCTAACTAAGAGTTGCAGGTGCATTCGCTCCGGTCTCTGGCAAGATCCGCCAAAACCCCCCACGAGCTCCTGAAGAAGCAGTACCAACCACATCCGCTTTACCGACTCGCAGTACAACAGGGTATAGAATATCTGATATTCTACAAGTGAGTGATCATTCATTTGAAAAGTAAAGCAATATCGTTCAGACGGATCCTCCTTACCGTAGTTCCTCGAATCCAACGATGCCTTCAACATCTTCAACCTTGGGCAATTCGTTTGGCAAAGTTCATCGAGTTCCAATAAAACTTGTGACTTCTGACATATCATCAAGTATTATTTTAAATATATGAATGATTTTATTAATTGTCTCATCATTAGCTGAAGGAGAAGGTTGTTCGTCAGACAATCGCTCAGAAACTCGTCCTGAAGCGAATTCTGATTATGATATGGATATTCCGACCTCACCATTGGCCAAACATGCTCGAAGTGAATCAATAATTATCTTATAACACACAAATTATCTTTTTCTTCTATTTTTAGGATCCTCAGCATTCCCCTTGACTATCAATGTTGAAACACAGAGTGCAACATCCGATCTGCCAAGCTCTATATCATCTTCTGTCAATAGCTTTGTTTATCAACCCAACTCATTCAGTCAGGAAGCTTTGAACAAACAATTGGAGGAATTAGCGGTAACTGTCTCATGACACTCATGAAAACGAATCCTATTTCTTACAGGCTGCCTCTTGTCTCTCTGTCATGCCTGATTCCAATGGAGTTGTCGACCCGGAGAAAGTTAGATTACAAGTAAATACTTCCGACAAGTTGTTTTTGATGGCAATTCATTTTTATCAGATTAACGCTGTGAGAAATCAGATGGCAGTTTTTGAAGAAATGATTGCGAACGCCAAAAACGAATTGAACATGGAACGGTCGGAAGCGGACAGCCAAGACTCTGCCCATGTTGAAGACATGTGCGAACCATCACCTTCTTCATCGCACACAGATTCTGAAACATCATCTAAGGATCGACGACTTCATCATTGCACCCATCCACAATGTGGAAAGATGTATACGAAGAGCAGTCATCTGAAAGCTCATTTTCGAACACATACAGGTGAGGCAGATATCATCGTAAACAATATGAATCAAAATGAATTTCCAGGTGAAAAGCCATATAACTGCTCTTGGCCAGGTTGTGATTGGCGATTCGCTCGGTCAGACGAATTGACACGCCATTACCGTAAACATACTGGAGATCGGCCGTTCAAATGTCCCAATTGCTCGAGGGCATTCTCGCGGTCCGACCATTTGAGCTTACACATGAAACGTCATTTTTAATAAATGACTCACATTCCATCCTCTCTACATTCACCACCTGCTTTTACCTAAAGAAGAAAATTGTTTTGTTCAAATACGTGTCATCTTCGTCTTTCTACCGTAATCCTCTCTTCGCTGCTTAAATTATCGTTTGAAGACATCCTCCGTTGATTATATCCACGAGATTGTTTTTGTTTGTTGTTGTTGTCATCATCATATCATACAGTGACAATCCTTAGCGTTGTTTCTTCTCTAAACCTCTCAACATCTTGCTCTCTCTCTCTCTACAGCATCTTCAAGCTTGTAAGTGCCAAATGATATGTTAACATATTCTCTTTCCATCAGAACTAGTCCATTACTAAGAGCATCTGAAACAATATAGTTGCAGCTTCAACTCTCTCTCTCTCTATCTCTCTATCTCTCTCTCTCTCTCTATACATATATACATTCTATTGTATCGATGAGCTATCGGGTTTATTAATGGATCTGAAAGAAATTATTTTTTTCTCTGTTCATGAGGATATTCTATATCAGCTATCATACAGGGTCCCCTCTCTCTCTCTCTCTCTCTCTCTCTCTCTCTGTTGTATCTTTGAAAGAGTCACATCCTTGTGACGAAATTATTTTCTTTTTTCATTGATGATTAAGAAAATTACTTCTTTTCGGGTGTATTTTATAGAAAATAAATCATTTTATTTACAAAAACTGTTTTCAAATCGGCTTATCATATCCATGTTCAATGTTTTTCGCGCCAAAATTCAAAAATCACTTTACACGTGAAGCTGAACACGTACATGCGTTCATTTACTTCCGAGCAAACGTGAGGAACGGTTGTTGTGTCTGATGGCGGGGCAGGTAATTTTAACTATTTGTAAACTTCATTATAATCCGCTTTTACGCTTTTCTGCTTTTGTTCGTCACCGATTCCTAGTGGCGCCTACGTCCATCCGTTCCAAGGTCGTCTCTTCAGCCAACCAGTTGATTCTCAGCCTCGTGCCGTCGGTTTCTTCAACCAAAAAATTATTTCTGAAATTCGGAAAACAGAAAAAAAAGAATTATAGCTCGTTCGTCCGTATATTCATCTTCATATATCATGATACCTCGTTTGATTTTTCATTTTCGTATATCTACCATTCACTTTCGTGTCATCTCCTGATCTGACTTGTTGATATCGTGTTTCATCGTGTAAATCATAGCTTCTTCTTCGTCTTCGTCTTCTTTACCAGCTATATTTCGCAATGTCCTTGTAAGGTAAAAGTGCAGTTCCGTGGAAGCCGTCGTCAATAAAGAAATTCCTATCTTCGCCAAATTATTTTTTGTTCTCCGCCACACCTTATAGACCATCCTTCTCCTCGCCTACCTTGCTCTCCTATCCCATCCCATACACACACACACACACACACGCTCATCATATGGCAATAACAAGGAAGAACGAAGAAAAAAAAATTAATTTTTGGTTTGTTTCGAATAAAAAAAAAACGTAACGAAACCATCTTCGTTGTCATTGTCTATTCGCTTCTCTCAAGGCCTTCCACTGTTTACGAATAACTTTGCGCAACTTTTCCATCTGTTTTTCGATTTTTTTTATTCTTTTTCATTTTCTTCTTTCCATCATTTTTTTTTATATATATTTTCTTTTAAAAATGCTGTCTTTCACAGACACAACATAGTTTTCACGTTTTTTTGCGTGAAATGACGACTGCTACCGTCACTTATCACGAGTTGCCTAATTGGGAGACAACGTCATCATCATTACTCCCTCGCGTTCCTACAATGACGTCGACAGCTTCTACATTTCATTCGAATTTATATCAAAATCCTTACGGTTTGTTATTTTATTTTTGACATACGTCTGTTATTTCCATTTTTGGTATAGATGATGATAAATGGGTTATGTATCGAAATTCGCTTGCACCTAATGTCTCAACATCACCAGCTTTGACTGCTGCTGTTGCATCATCATCTGCCCTTCCAACTACTTTCAATTCTAGTCAAGTATGTATCATTGAAACAGTCTCGCACTCACATCTACATACATATCATTATAGATTCCCATTAAACGTGTAAATAAGAGTCGTAATCGTCCGTTCACTGTATCATGTGAAGAGCTATGTCTGGTGTGTGGAGATAAAGCTTCTGGATATCATTATAATGCTTTAACATGTGAAGGATGCAAAGGCTTCTTTCGACGATCCATCACTCGTAAAGCCACCTACTATTGTAAATTTGGACAAAATTGTGAAATTGACATGTATATGAGAAGGAAATGCCAGCATTGTCGACTTCAGAAGTGCTCCAAGATAGGAATGAGAGCTGAATGTGAGTGTTGCATGTGATGAAGTCAATCTCTTATCATTCAATTGTCTGTTCAGTAGTTATTCCGGAAGAACAATGCCGGATAAAGCGAGAAGCTAAATTACGACAACGATCGATAAAAGCTTCTTCGTCATCCATAAAATCAGAAGAAAGCATTGAAGCACCTGACACGCCATCTGTGAGTCTCTCACCGTTCTTCTTATTCATATGCTGTTATGTTCTCAGACTGTCACATCGGAAATGCCTATCGAAACTCAAGAACTGATCTCACGACTTACTTCAATATCAAAAGAATTCTTAATGCCTTCAGATGAAGCTATGACGTCATTATCGGTAAATTGTTAAGGAAGTGTGATTTGTGAACAAATTTGTTTACAGATGAATTGCTCTTCAAGCCAAGTCACGCTGTTTCAGCACCTGGCTGAGCTGACAATTCTAGAAGCTCAATTAGCTCACGAATTCATACGTCATCTACCTGGCTTCTCCCGCCTGGAGGAAGAAGATAGACGATCTATCCAGAAGGTACTTTGGTAGTTTAGGCTCATAAGCATGTATCTATGTTACAGTCAAGTAAATCAGATCTATTCCTCTTACGAGCAGTTCAACGCTACGACTCATCATCAGATGAGATTGTGTACGGCAATGAAACATACAAATACAGGTATATAGATTGTAGTAGAGACAAGTGTTCGGAATATTTCGATTGCAGAATGTCAGAGTCAGATTACTCACAAGCTGGTCTTCATAAATCATTGAGTATTTTCAATTTTATCCGTTCGTTAGCTAAGCTATCGCCTGACACTACGGAACTGGCCCTTCTGCAAGCCATTGTCATATTTTCAGGTGCTCAATCGTTCTATCAATTCATTTCAATAATTATACAATTTATAGAACGTGACATATTCAAGAAGAAGTCTCAGATTGATGAAATTCAAGAGATCTACACGTTAGCCCTACAACAGTACATAGAATCAAATCGTCCAGCGAATCAGAAGACGTTGTACGCCAAATACATTGTGAAACTGGCAGATTTGAAAAAAATTAACCATGTAAACAGTTTTTTTTGTTCATTATGGTGTTTCACATTGAGAATGGAACAGTTGATGATCATCAATTCATTCATTTCATTTCAGACGGTTAACTCATCATCGTCATCATCTACAACTCCAACAGCTACCTCGCCTATGTCGTTGCCACTCACTACATCAGATAACTATGAATGGAAAGAGTTATAAGATAATTATATCAGAATTCTCAATAAACCTTTAACTATCGTCTTCTTCCATCTATCAGCTGTTTCCATGTGAGTGTGAGAAGGGGAAATTTTAAAAAACGCGTATCCAGCAGTCATTCTTTTCGAAATGTCCTTGACGGAGATTTTACCGTCTTGTTTAGAAACCAGTGATCTTCAGAAGGTTGTTGTTGAACAAATGAAACGACGACGTATCAAGGCATACAAATGAGGAGCCTCGAATGAAATGTTATTTTTCTCGAAAATCATGAAGTTTGCACACTGTGTCGCTCATGGGCCAGCTTCAGTACGTTTTAAATTCCATTTGAACATCACAGACGCATTCTGGAGACGCGCATCAACTAGAAAAGAATGAACATATGAATCTATTGTCTAGACATACGTGTGTTGCTCAGCCGTGATGTAGACACCTTTTCCAAGTGAAAGATTTGCTTTATGGCTTTTCGGAATGTTCTTAAAGTGAAGAGAAGGGATAAAGGAGTAACAATGTGACTGAACGCAACGATCGTGACGCTAATCTTGATGACGGCTGAAAGAGTACATGTATGGATCAACATACTATCCTTGAATGCTTACAAGCGTTGTAGGTCTTCAATATGTATTCGAGCAGGAACAGTATCATTGGAATGATAACTAGAACTATCTCGACAGAAGCCTAGAATACTGAGTATTAGGAAAACGGTGAGAGTTGAAGTGAAGAGACCAATGCAAGTACTGTTATTGAAACAGCTCGTTGACTTGATGAGTTGATGCTTTGATTTGATTCTCGCTTCTGATGAAGCTTGTATACTAAGATAACACTGGAGCTGACGCCAAAAATAGCGTAAAAGATGATAAATTCTACCAGCGCAGAGAAGAATAAAATAGTTTTGATGTCTTGAGCATCTAACATGAAAAGATCCATCTGTAGCTCATCTGGTAGTACGATGTTGGCGTTCTGGACACCAAATGAAATCAAATGAGACGGTTTTTAAGACGAACCTTTAAGCAGTCATCAATGTTTATGGGGAATATTTTGAAAACTACATAGAAACCAATGAGAGCTGAAGTGCTCATCACTGTATGATATATGTAAATCTGTTTTAGGATATAATTCATCTTTGGAGAAAGATGAACCATAACAGCGAGACAACGCCATGTTAGTAGACCTGTTAAGGATGTGGCCTGACCTGTAGAGTTGATGATTTCAAATATTTAATATATTGAAATGAGTTTTCTAACCTAGTATAAACAGCAGTTGTATAGCATACACCTCTAAGAATGGAATTCGTAATAATTGAGTTAGGGGTCCTACAGAATAGAATGCAACACATGGCACTAATGGAATTGGCTTTGATATGAGGTGAAGCCAAAAACCCGAAATCGAACATCTGTAGATGAGAAGCTTAGATATACCATGATTGAAATCTACTCACAGAACGATATGAGTGAGTAGAATGCGATGTAATGACTTCGACATGGCAGTATCTCGACGTTGAATGAAGAAGTATAATGTGAGTAGGATAGTTACACACTGACAAATGAATATGATATTCATAATCCTGATATATAATCTGTCATCCAACATAATGCACTACTGTTGAGCTGATTGAATTAACTGAATCTGAGGTAACACCTGTAAACGTCAATGAAATGAAGCAGAAACTTGAATATTATTGCAAATGAGTGCTTATGAGCAGAAGAAGCACAACTCCTCAAAAAAATCTCAAATACATTCTCTCAATTCGTATTCTCAAACAGAGATTTGTCTGAACAGTGAATTGCTTTTCAATGATAATGCATGTTCCCTCCATTGCAGTCTCGCCTTCCCTCGCCCCGCTCCCTTTCTGTTCCCTCAACTTAACTCCATCGTTGGTAATATTCAGTTGGACATTCAAACACTCATCAGTAATTGGATGCTGCTGACGTAAGATGTTGAGAAGAACAGTTGGCTGCCCTTTCATCCTCATTTTGTTGTAAAAAAACATAGAAAAAGAAGGAAATGAATGAGATGAGAGAGAGATGCTTCTCTCACACTCACTCACTCACACATGTATATCCTTTGAGAAGTCGAAGAAGAGCTAAGCTTAGAGAGAGAGAAATGGTTTGACATGATGGAAAGCAGCAATGAGATGTGAGATGATACGAGATGATGTGATTAATTATCAAAAACATTCAACTTCCGCATGTCTAACTTCATTATCTGACAATTGATTTTTATTATAAAAATAACAAAAAAAATCTGTTTTTATCACATTGAGCTGAGCGAATACACGATGAAGTAATCGAGAGAGAGAGAGACAGAGAGACAGAGAGAGAGAGAGAGAGAACTTGATGTGTAAGTAGAATTTGAAATGATAATTACGGAATATGGAAGAACAGCCATATACGGGTGTGTGTGTGTAGGGTGGGGTTTTACAAAGATGGTATGTCTCTTGTATGGAAGAGACATCATTCATAAATCATTATGCGACAATTCCAATATTCATAGATAGATTGTTATAACACCGTTTATGGTCATTAGGAAGCAGCAATCACCTTATAAAGGCAATTCAAATGCCATTGCTTATATGATATGTGACCGTTTTTTTTGAAGTGAACACATGAAAAGTGAGTACACAAAGAGAGAGAGAGAGGAATAGAGAGAGAAAGAGAAAAATAAAAATAAAAATTTCCTAATATAGAATATGGCATATGTATGAAAGAGGAGTTATAGTTTGAAACTCTAAAATCGTTTCGTATTGTATAAGAGAGGGAGAGAGAGAGAGTGTAGGAGGTTGATGAAGAAAAATATAATTTAAAGCTTTTCCTTGAAGTATGAAGAACGAAAAGGCTATAGCATGTGGTATATGCCTTTATATGGTCGATTCATGGAACGTTTGTGTATATTCGACGGGCGTTGATCGGATATAGCCAGCTGGTCCCTGAAGTGATACGAATGATCAGTATGTAACTCTCTCCGTCTATGATGAAGTCTTACCTGGGTATAGATAACATCTGGTTGAACTTGCTGCATACGATTAGCATTAATGTAATCTTGGCTGACAGGAGTAACAAGTGGTGGCTGAAACATTGAAATATTCAATTAATCGGAAAATGAATTAATTGAAAAATGAATTTTGATATGAAAGATCATACAACGACAACTGCTAGTCATCGATCAACGAATTCATTTGATATTAAGCTTCCTGATTGCAATTTGGCAGAATGCTGGGTAACATCTATCATTTGCCACACGCACAAAATGACCTCATCATCATCATCATTCTTATCATTTGAACTATTAGAGTTGTAAGCTATACCTGTGAGTATTGAGGATTAGGCTGTTGACGATATGGATCAGGATTGTATGTTTGATTCATGGAGATTGGCGATGGAGCAACCATTGGAGATCTCGGTGCAAACCTATGAATGTAGTTATAAGATATACAAATCCGTATTTGGTATTGTTTACTCGAAGTTTTGATTAGATTGTTGCTGCTGTTGAGGTGGTTGATACATTTGAGATGAAGCTGGCCTGTATGATGGAGCTTGTGCAGGCCATTGTCCTGAGTTTCGACTGGAAATGTATCGCTTCTTCTCCTTATCCTCTTCTCTCATCTGAAATATGGTCATGACATAGGTGATTGTTCTCTTCTCTCATCTAACATGTATCAACCCTGAGCTTGTATGTACTGTTTCATATACAATCGGAATTCATTTGTCTTTTAACCAAAAATATGTTTGTCTTTTATGTGACGACGGATAAGATGAAGAAGAAGCTTATACAATCCCCTCAAATGAACGCTTACATTCGTTACAGAGAGAGGGAGAGAGAGAACTATAGAGAGAGAGAGAGAATGATAGAGAGAGAGAGAAAAGTAAAAGAACAAAGAAATATATGAGAGAGCAGCTTTCAACACCTGTTCCAACTTCTTTTTTCTTTCTCTCATTCTCTAACAACTCTCATAATGCCATACTGTGTATGTTATGCACACATCTGTCCGTATTGCTTATGTGCAACTCTTCTTACGTCATATTTTTCCTTTAGCTTTCATCTCTCATCTACCTCAGGCTCTTCTTTGGACCTTTGATAGAAAATTTTCTATTTCTTTCTTCCTTTCCAACGTTACGTAAACCTCTCACACTCATCTCACAATCCCTCTGTCTCTCTCTCACTCACTCTTCAATTCCACCCTAAGGGTCACACAGCCTTCGGCAAACAGAAATCAAAATCGGCGATATTATTGCTTTGACTATACAGTTTAGATACAACTAAGCTCTCACACCATCTCTCTCTCTCTCTCTCTCAACAACCTTCATATTATCTTCCACTATCTCACCCTGTCTAGACCCACTATGCCTGTATTGCATAAATACCCATAAACAGACAAAAGAATGCTCAAGAGGATGCAACTGGACTGGTCATGTTGTCAGGCGTTTAAGCTGTATTTTGAGTTTTGAGAATCAAAGAGAGCAAATGTCCAAAAACTTTCCCACCAACCACTTCACCCTTACATTTGCATTTTAATGGGATTGGTGGTTGTGGTGGGGCCAGTGAAGATGGAGAGGGCGTGTGCATGGAAGACTTGCAGGTCAATATGGAATCTTTCCGGTTTTTTTTATTCATAACAATACCGTGTGAAATGGAATGTTTGTAAATGCAAAATCGTTTGGAAATAAAAGATAAAATGATGATGAAGAGAGTGAGAGAGAGAGAGATCATAAGATGGTCAGAAGGTTCAGAGAGATCATGAAAGAGAAAGAGAATCATAGATAATATGAGGGGTGGTAATGATAAGAACAATTATAGATACGTATAGTTAAGCAACTTACAGATTTCGTACAAACATATAATCCTCCAAGGACTAAGCCAAGCAACAACAGTGCTCCAACGAGAATGGCGAATATGACGGCAACCTATAGATAACATGATTAGAAAATGACTGTGTTAACTATTATAATCTTACTTGATAGTTATAATGATCGTTATTATAACCCATAGTTAGCTTCTATCGTACTCTGCAAGGAATAATTTCTTGAATGGAAAGGTAAATAGACAAAAGCCTCGAGGTTGATTCCTCGCTCACCCCCACCCTCCTCTATGCTGTTGTGGAGCATTAGAGTTGCGCGAGCATAAGCATAAGTACGGAATAATAAAAGAAAAATATATAATGAATTCAATACAATATGATAAGAATTGATTGTTAAACAAGATTTTTCATAATCAAAAAATGTTTTCAAACGATGATAGAGGGAGAGAGAGAGAGAGGAAGGAAGGAAGAAAGGAGGAAGATAGGTGAGTAGATGGGTACGGGAGGGTAAAGGTACACGCGCCATTGCAATGAAGGTGATGAACTGAAAGAGCATGAAGAGAGGTAAACCTAAAGAGGTAAAGAGAGACTTAGAGAGAGAGAGGGGGGGGGAGTGATAAAAGGGTCAAATTATTTGATGAAGATTGTTAAAATAAATAAATATAACAAAATATTTTTTTGAAATATACAGTTATAGAGAGGATGAGTGTGACAATGGAAGAAGCGAAAATCAAAATGTCTTTGAACATTCAAATGGATGCACACTGCTTGTATTCACATGATAGGAAATGGAATAAACGAATGAAGAAGAAGAAGAAGAAGAAGAGGCGAAGAAGAAGAAGAGAAGACGAAGAAGAAGAAGGAGGTGAGGACGAGAGCAGGTAGAAGAATAAAACAAACAGAACACTGGTTCCAACATTCTTTCAAAATGTACATGGGAAATTCAATTTGTAACTGTTCCCAGAAAGCCAATATCAATCAATATGAATCTATATAGTCAGTACAGTACTATACTATATCATATAGTTAACATATAGAGAGAGAGCGAGTAAGAAAGTGAGAGAGAGATGTTGTGATAGGGTAAGATAAAGAGAGATAGGAGAGAGAGAGATGCTTACAGTTTTTCAACTGCATCATGTGGAAGGAGTGAGGAAGGATGGAAGATATTAAAAGAATATTTATTATTTCTATTTATAATCCGATAATAGAGAGAAAAGAGATAATGAGAGGGTATTACAGACTTTAATATGTGTGAAAGAACATTAAGTTGCAAAAGAAATTCAAAGAGTTAACAAGACATTCTATATACATTGGGAGTGTGGGAGAGCTTGTGTGAGCTATGAACTGACTGTTGTGAACAGACGAGGAGACTCCCCCATCTCATCTGTAGAATTGCAATGGTCAATAGAAGGGAAAGGTAAAGAGAGACTATGTTGAAGAAAGAATGAGAGACTAACACACAGAGAGATATAGATAGAGAGAGAGAGATAGAGGGAGAGATGTTCAATAATGAAATTGAATATTTGGCAACCTTATGTTTCTGAAAGCATGTAACCTAGACCATGTTCTGCATGTTCCATTGCCTTATACAGGCTCAAGCTTCTCTTCTTGTTGTTGATTGAGTTGAAAAAAAAAGAAAAAGCTGAGTTTGTTGAGTAACTAGTCCCTCTCATGTGTGTACGTGTGTGTGTGTGTGTGTGTGTATGTGTTCCATTTACGATTTGATTTTAAAGAACAACCGATCAACGCTCTGTTGCAACATTCAAACTGACTCAACAATACATATTTCACGTAGTTTTACGTGAAATGCGTGAATCACGTGAAAGACGCGTTTAATTGAAAAACAAAAAGCATTGCAAAGGATGATTACGTCATGTGTTTAATTGAGTGAAAATGTGTTTTGTTGTTGAAAGTATTTTAATAAAAAAAAACAAAAGAGAAGAAGAAAAAAAAAGAAAAAAGATGTCATTTGAGTCATTTGTACAGAGCGCCTGAGGCAATTGTCGCTTTTTTGTTGTTAAAGAAGACACCTGATGGATCAGAGGAAGAAAGAGAGAGATGGCAGTAGGCATATGCACAGAGAGAGTGAGAGAGAAAGCTTCAGAGGGTAAAAGTACAGGAAAACGAGGTTTTTCGTTTCAGCTAATGAAAACAACAATAACAATGACATAGAAGAGAGAGAGAGGTAAGGAGGGAGAGAAATAGAGAGAGAGAGGGAAAGTTTTAGTAAAAGCAAAAGAATTAATTTGTTTTTAAACTATACGCACATAGTTAAGCTTTTGTAGAATGTGTAGGATTGTTGATGAGTAAGTTGAAGAAGAATTCTTATCAAAATGATATGTTTGAGCTTTAAAGTTGAAATGCTTATAAGAGAGAGAGAGGGTGTAGAGAGAATAGAAAAAGGTATAACAGACTATCGACTAGAGCGATAAAGAGGGAGAGAGAGAGAGAGATAGAGAGATAGGGGGGTGGAAGCGACAAAGAAAGATTTGATATAAGAAGATGTCGATGATGAATTATTAGGTTGGCGACAAACATCAAATATGGACGACGTAAGATTTAACACAAACATCATTCTTCGTAAAACTTAAAAGAGAAAAGAGTCGGAAATGGAGTTATAGAGGATAAGAGAGTCTATTAGAGAGAGAGACAGAGATAGAGAGAGAGAGATGTGACTGCTACTTAAGCAGTCATGTCTTCATACAGTATATGCTAATGAGCAGATTGAGCTTAATTCGAGAAGCTGAAGAATTCACGTTCCGAAACTGATATACATTGATGTTCGGGTTGAAGACAGAATATGGAAAACCGAAGTAAACCAGCCGTGCGCCAGAAATGATTTCGTACAGAAAGTGTTCTGAAAGCATTCATAGAAGGCTATGAATCACAGCCTCGTGTCCCTCCTTTCTTCGCCATCACCTCTTTCGTCGGATGTTTTTGAAATGTGGTGAAGAAGAAAAAAAATATTTTTTTTTCATGCATTTGTAAAGAAATATGTTTATTGAATAGGACAAATCAATAGATCAGATTGATTATTCGCACAATCTCCTTTAATGGTCTTGGATGGATCATCATGAGTGTCAGCAAGCAAGCGCAGCAACAGCCATAGCCCTCTATACCTTGCCCCTTTGTCCCATTGCCTTCGTTGCCCCGTATCGCATGGGTCCCATGGGCTGTGGCGCGATTTCATTGAGCTGATCGTTTTTCAAATTGTAATGCTTAAAGTTTAAGCGTTTCGTTGATTGCTCTTCAACAACTACACATATTATTATCGAAAAAAAAAGAAGTTTTTCTTATAAAAGTTTATCTTCTGAAGTAGCAAGTAGTTTCCTTCACAGAGAGGGAAAGAGAGAGGAGAGAACAAGGTAAGAGAGACATGTCTGTATGTGTGTCTGAGAGAGAGAGAGAAAGCTGAAGATGGAGGGAAAAGAGATAGAGAGAAAGAGGGAAGGGAGGAAGATTTTTGCCGCCACTAATCAACCTGTTCAGTCTCCTCCTCCTTTTTTCTTCTTCTCATCCCGGGACTCTTCTAATAGTTTGAAGTCGTCCTGCCAGTTGGCAGTCATCCCTCGGCCACTCCATTCCCAATCCACCAGTACGTTTTTTTTCTTTTTTCTTTCTTTCATTTAACAAATCATTTTTTGATTTTCGTATTCTTAAAGCCAAAAAGCCAGTCTGAGATTTGAGATGAAGAAGGATAGGTGAGAGGGAGAGGGAAGAAAGGAGGGGAGTGACGAAGGTAGATGGCAGGTTATGAGACGTAGATGAAGAAGAAAGGCTTGTGTGGTGATGGCCTGCCGTTCCGGCCATCTCCCCCTCCCTTTACCCCCCAACTCTGATATTTCATTTTCGTTTTTTCGCCAAATTTCCGTTATTCCGGATATGTTTGAGCTCTCTCTTACTTGAACTTTTCCTTTTCTTTTCTTTACATTTTCACTTTTGCAGAAGCTTCTATCATCTCCTGCTGTCTAAATTTCAGAAATCCGTCATTCTTCATAGATAAATAATTGTGAAGAAATAGATCTTATTTGCCTATCAAATGCATTTGCTCCATCCACCCCCACCTTACTTTTTCGCTTTTTTTTCATAAAATAAAGAGGTTTTAGACTTCAGAGAGAGAGGGAGGGAGGGAGAGAGGAAGAGTTAGGAGTTGGATGGACAAGGGTTCTTCTTGACTTGGAAAAGTGAACAAGGCAAGGGTTCCTATCTACTAGTTCTTCTTCATCTTCTTCTTTTTCTTTTCGTGTGCTTCATCTTCCAACTCTCTGGACATGAACCATTCGAAGACTTCTCTTTCAAAGTGAGACAGAGAGAGAATTAGAGATTAAGAGAGAGTATCTCAGATTACAAGATGGTTTTCTTCTTATTTTTGCAAATTTTTCATCGAAGCTTATGTCTGTGTGTGCAAAAATCTTTTTTTTTCTTTTTGTTCTTCTCATTCATTCCATCTGATGATGATGATGATGATGATGAGAGAAGTTGCGAGCTACTGTTGAATGCTGATGCTGAATGCCCTATCATCGTGTGCATGCCCTCATGCGCACCGTCTCACTCTCACCTCATACCCTCACTCTCTCTCTGTATCTATCCCTCTCTTTGTCTTTATTTTTTATTATCAATGTCATTCCTTTTATATAGGGAGAGAGTGAATGAGAGAGAAACATTTCTATTTCATAGCTTTTAAGAGCATTGAATGGCGTAGGTGGTGTTGATGTCAAACCGTTCCTCTTCTATCTTCAGAAGTCACTTTTAAGCTTTTTCATCTCATTCGCTGTCAATCTGATGACGTATTTATCCGATAAAACTGAGTGTCATTCTCTCCTCCCTCTATCTATCTCTCTCTCTCTATATATATCTCTCTATCTCTCCCTCTTTCTCTCAAAAAAAGTAAATCTCTTTCATATTATATGAAAAGGCATTGACGATTGGTCAGATATGCCACGTATGAATGAATACTCTTCCATTCTCTTTTTTGAATCAGAAATGGTGTTATCAGAATGACTTGAGTTTATTAGAAAGTTAAGCCCACCCTTTGACATCACTTTCAATTCATTCACGTACAATTTCAACTCAAAAATCGCCTTTTCAAGCAAAAATTTCATATCAGCTCTTACTCTTAGTTACTCTCTCTCTCAATACACCTCACTCTCTCTACTCACCCCCTTCATGCTATTCGTCGTTCTGGCTTT